TTTATTTCAGTAGAACTTTTTGACACTAAAAGTATTTCAAAAGAACTTTTATTTATAGCCTATTATTGCAAAATATAAATAGATAATTGAGTAGATTTACTTTAAAAATACAGATGATGTCGAACTAAAATTTCATTTAGGGTAATCCGATTAAGTTTTATATTTCATTATGAATATTGATCCTTTGTTGTTTCTTTTTCTTAGTATTTATAATTGAAAAGAGCTATGCACAGAAATACTGTATTCATAATTATTTATGTCTTAATAACCTTGTGTTTCATTGTATTAGAATAGAAAACGTCCTTAGTAACCTGTTCGAGGTATTTAATGTAGCAAAAGAAGTTGTTTCTTATTAATTGCTTACATAGAGTAAATTAAAATTAAGTGATTGATAAATTTTCCATATGTCTTTTGATTAAATTTATTATATTAAATAATTAACATTTATGTTCGATAGACTCTCATTTATTTATGTTAAATTTAACAGCAACTTTAATACTATACATAATTGTCAAATACTTGAATGCAAGACTTAGCAGGTGATTGAATAATAGAACGAGAAAAATAACAAGACATTTCATTTTCTTTATTAATTAATAATAACAGTAAAGACAAAAGTTTATACGAGCTGGCGCATCAATAAAAATCCGCCATGTCAATTAATGCTATGAGTGGTAAACACCTTTTTTTTTTATAGTTAAAAATATCGTTAATGATGTTCTTCTTGTTTTTTTTCATGCGATACAAATTATGGATAATTCATAAATAGACAATGCACTTATTACTATCCGTTATGTAATGTAAAAAAATTAGTTTTTTGACGTATATATATCGCATCTATAATTCGACAAAAATAAGAAAATTGGTGTATGTAAATTTGATATGTCAAAATATATCTAATTAAGATATATCTTTTAAAATTATATATTACTTTCTAATTTCTCTTTAAACTAAAATATTCATTTAAATCAACATGAATATATCCACTTTTATTATTTAGTTTTTGATATGTTATTATCTTGTATTGAGGTGATCTAAAGTTTACTTTCGTTTAATTATGTAGTAGGAAGATACTTATTTCTATAACCTACTAATACTAAAGCATGTATACAACAAAATAAAATTGATACTCCTTGATATTCAAAAATCATTAGAGATTTTTTTGAACTAGAATGTCGTCGAGATATGTTGGCTAGTCAAATGCATAGAAAGATAAAAGCCGATGTTGATTGTCAATAAGAGCCTTGTTTTTCTTTTTATTATAATATCCAGAATATAATTAATTCTTATGGGTCTTATATCTGCTTTTTGTTTAGAAATTAAATGAGAACATAATGACAGATTTGTCTTTGAGTTTATGTTTAACATTATAATGATTTATGCCATAATTGCCAAATGAATATTTTTGTTTTCATATTTAATGACATCAAATATTACAAAAGAAAGATTCTATTTGCATATATTTTCTTTTCTGAATAATATCTATATTTGATTGGAAAGCATGATATAACACATTTGTGTACTCGGAACATGAATAGAACATTGTAATGTATCATTTTTCTTTATATTAAAGAAATCTTATTCCTATATGTGAAAGTTAACACTGTATTTTTTTTTTGTATCCTTTAAAGATGGTTAATCTCGATGTTCCTATCAATTGACATATGTTACTTAATAATGTATCTAAGCTTACTTTTGCTTCTTATTATTTTTAAGTTATCAAATTGTACTTGAAGATTTCTTATACTATATAATATTTTTATTATAATGAAGATCAGATGTTTTTCATATGATTTAACAATAATATAATGATACTTGATTATATATTTTATACAAACTCATTTTCTTATATTTACATAAACAGATACGATATATATATATATTAAGAATATTTATAAAAACATGCTTTAGATATTACCTTGTCCGGAAAGTCCGTGCAACTCATATACTATAAAACCTTAGGATAACAAGTGCTGCATTTAATCAACGTAATGACCTTCGCTAATAGCCACACATAGCTCGTTGGCAACGTGGAATCGCTAGTGAAGGTCATTAGATTGAATAAGTCCAGTATCTGTTAATCTAAGATTTCATAGTATATCAGTTGCATGAACTTTCCGAACAAGGTAATATTATATAGAAATAAACTTAAGAAGGGTGAAAAGAATAAACGTATGAAAACGTGACATTGATAAAGACTTAGTCACGTAATATTTTTCTGTTTGTTTCTCAAATAGTCAAACGTACTTGTATAAGAATAGTATATAAGCATATGTGTTATTATTTTTCTTCAATAGCAAAATGTTTAAACATATATAAGTAAAAGAGATATTTTTCTTCTTTTGTCTTGCTCATTCTTCAACGTTTTATCATCCTTTGGAATTTGATTCCAAATGTAAGTACGAATATATATAGTTTTTTATTTCGATTTAACCACTGTTTGACTGAAACAAAAAAAAGCTGTCAAAAGATCCGGTGATTAAAAATGTAACATTAACAAATATGAACTTGTTCTTTTAAGAGAAATTGTTGAATTTTAATTATATTATATTCTCGAAATTTATGAAAAGATTTTATTTTGATTGAACATCAAAATCGGAGTAGGAAAACGTTATTTGATTAAATTTTGAGTTGATAAGATCAAAAAAACGAATCGTGCTTAAGTATAGATGCTTCCAACATGTCTCATAACACGCACTTGTGAATATTCTTGTAAACTTATCTAATGCTTCTGTAATAAGAAGCTAATGATCTACCTCATTAAAACGACTATATCATGAGCTAAAAAACATATCCATGCAATTTCTTTTGTAATTTTGTTTTATTGTTGAGAAAATTGAATTTTTCTCTTGTTTCGTGGCAAAATCCGATTAAAGCAAAGTGAAAAATGTGTTCATATTTAGCGATTTTTATTACTATAACTCCATTGTAAACTGAAATAGATAGCATATTCAGTATTAGCATAAGAAACTGCACCAAATCACATATGTTTCCGTAAAAACTGTTTACAATAAAAAAATACACCTGTGATCTATTTTTCTAAAATTTTGCCTTTACCTCGCGACAAGGTCGGTTTTTTGACGAACAAAAAAGCCCTTAAAACATACATGATTTGAGGTAGTGTTTCAAGCTGATTCCGAATATGCTGTCTATTTTATTTTACAATTGAGCTATAATAATAAAAACCGTTAAATATGAACACATTGTTCACTTTTTTTTAATATAATTTTGCCACCGAATAAGAAAAAAACTCAATTTCCTCAACAATAAAACAAAATTACAAAAAGATTGCATTGGCTCATTTCTAGCTCACAGCCTGGCCGCTTAATGAAGCAAAAGTACTAGTTTTTAGCTTTTATTACAAAAATATTAGATAAGTTTACAAGATTATTCACAAGTGCGTGTTATGAGACATGTTAGAAACATCTATATTTGAGCGGGATTTTTTTTTTTGATCTTATCAACTGAAAATCTAATAAAAAATAACGTTTTTCTACTCAGATTTTGATGCTCAAGCAAAATAAAATCTTTTCATAAACTTCGCAGATATAACATAATTAAAATTTAACAATTTTTCTAAAAAACAAAAACAAACGAGTTCATATTTGTTAATGTTACATTTTCAATTATTGAATCTTCTTTTTACAGCTTTTTTTTATTTCAGTCAAATAGTGGTTGAATCGAAATAAAAACTGTATATTCGTGACCAACTTGTCACACTCTATGAAATCAAACATAAATAAATGAGAAAAAAATCCACGAGAATTTCGCATTATGTGTACCTTAAGTAGTTTACTCACTACCGTAGTATATATTGATCTTGATAATTTCTTCAATAAGAGCGTTCATATCAGTCATTAGACATTGAGCAATAGAATCGACATTATTATGTTCATTTATGATAAAGTGTGTGCTTTCTAACTCGAGTTTCTGTAACCTTCGAGAATCATTAGTATCTAGTTTCTTGTATAGATTCATCTTGAAGAAAATATACTCTCTAATTAAATCATAAGAATACTCATGCTGTGCTAGATAGGATAGAAAAAAGAAAAAAGGAAGTCTTATAACAGAATATTTCTCTTCCGAATGAATTAGTATAGCAAGTAAAAGGTGATAAATCAGTTGGATTTACGTATTTTGAAATTATTCTAATATTTAGTAAAGTCATCATGAACTTTCTACTTTTTTTTACTGTTCTAGATAAAGCAATAAAAAAAGAACTTATTGATTAATACTTATATATATATATATATATATATAAAGATGGAGATATATAAAATAATAAATCCTTTATATAAAACAAACTTGTCACAGAAGAATATATGGTTAATGTTAATCATCATATATACAAAGCAGCTGTCAATAATATGAAGATTAGTTTTTCTTCTATTTTCACATGAATATAAAATTCAATGAATATAAAATTCAATGAAATTTATTTAGTATTTTTTTGTTCTATTTTAATCGATATTATTAACCAGAAAAGTGTCTTTTTAAATTCTATATCTATCCGCTTTTAAACTCATAATTATCAATAATTATCAACATAATCTATATATGGTAAATATATTTTTCCAATTAGTTTTATTTTTACACAGAGAAAAGATTTTCTTTTTCTTCTAGAGAAGACATAAGTTTAAGGTTGTATTTTACATCTTTTTTTGACATTAACAAAACTGATAATAAGAACGTCTGTAGTGCAGTTTAGTTATTCATTATTAAATGAAAATGATTCATAAAAAAAAATGACCTAGTTAGTATTTCAAGATATTTCATCACGTTATCTCTAATTAATAAGAGTTTCTAGGATAATTTTTATAAAGTATTTTAATGAGATATATATATTTTTTTTCTATCATTCTCTATATATCCTGCAACGAGAGAACAAAGAAAACTTGAAGTGTGTTACAAATAAAAGAAAAAATGAAAGTCTTCATAAGTTAATATTTTCCTAAATGACATTCTGTATTTATTCTAGACTTTTTTTTCTTTTTTAAATAATGATTCCAATAACAAATTCTTCAATGAATAATTTAACTATTCCATTATCTTATTGTTTTCTTGATCGTTTAAATTTTTTTTTCAATCATATTTATTTATTATTACTTACTGTAATTGGTTCAATTGGTAATACATTTGTTATTATTATTTTTTGTCAACGAGCATTTCGTACAAAAATTGGTTCGATTAATTCAAATATGTCTGTTTATCCATTTTTATTTTATATGGCTATATCAGATACAATGTATTTAATTATATTATTTTGTTTATGGTTATCAAATTATATTAATGTTTTACATCGTCCAGTTATTTGTCAACTTACATTATATTTAACATATGTTTGTAATTTTATTAATGCTTATTATACAATAGCATTTACTGCTCAACGTTTATTTGCAGTTATTAATCCATTTCGTGTATCACATGTTCTTTCATGGTATCGTTCACGATTTTTATCATTATCAATAATAATATTTGCTTGTTTAATATATTCATATTTACCATTTTTAATTGGTATTGTTAATGGAAAATGTTTTTCTCGTCCAGAATTTCGTTGGATAAATAAATATATGGATATAATTGATAGTATTATTGTTTTTCTTATACCATATATTATTATAATAACAATGAATACAATTATTCTTATATCATTACGTCGTATGAAACATGATCAACATGAATTTCTATTTCGAACTCATTCACATTTAAATAGACGACGTGAATTAATACGTCGTAATGCATCACGTAAAATAACAAAATTATTATTAACTATTTCAACATCATATTTAATTATATGTGCACCATATGCATCTATACATACATGGCGTTTATTAAATAATCGTCAACAAAATAAAAATTCACAATTAATTAAACAATTAGAACATTATGCACTTTTTATATATCATATATCATTTGCAATGAATTTTTATATTTATATTGTGTTGGATTCAAAATTTCGTCGTGAATTAAAACGTTTTTTTATAAAATCAAAACAAAATTTTTATCAATGTTCTCGACAAAAGAAATTTGTTGAAAATGACAATCAATTAGAATTAGTAGACAATAATTCTACAACAACAGTTGGATATACATTTCAAGGAAATCTACAAAATGTTAATCATAATCATAATCTTATGAGAAACTCTTGTTGTTGTCATATTCATTTGTAGATAGTAGAACATAACAAAAAAAAAAAACGAAAGAATGTGTTAATAAAATATTCTTAAGAGTAGTTATCTTTTCTTTCTTTATCTATTTTACGTTTGTATATATCTTTAAATGAAAAAGTTCTTATCATTATTTATTATCTATGATCTACGTAGATGGGTATAAGTATTTTTTTTTTAAGTATTTGTTTTATTCTATATTAAATTTATTTTTGATTCATCTAGCATTTGGTGCAAATTATCGGAAAATTTTAGAAATAAACGAAGAAGCAAAGGGTTTGCTAAAATATATTTGATCGAAATCTTGAGACTTTTTTTTTAAGGAATGAATTCAAATAAATTTGAAGGTAATGGAATTCAATTTAAATGCAAAATTATTGGTATGAAAATTACAAAAAAAAAAAGGAAAATTTGAAGATATAATTAGTTTTCATTTGACATAAAGGAATGGAATATTTACCAATTGATCGTGATGAACGCGTATGTCTTGAGTCAATGTTTAAACTTAAAGTTGTTGTACGTGCTCGTGGTGAACATAAACAAAAAATTCAATTAATTTTAACTATGAATGGTATTAAAGTTGTTGATGAACTTACTAAAGTATGAATGAAAACTTTTATTTTATTTTATTTTATGTTTTCTAAATTAAATTACTATTTTATTAGGTTGAAATTGCTAAACATGAACTTGTACGTATATCATTTGTTACTATGGATCCGAGTGATTCACGTGCATTTGGATATATTTATAATACAAGTGATGGTCGTCATCAATTTTGGGCTATTAGAACTGAAAGATCAGCAGTAGTAACAGTTCTTGCATTGAAAGAACTGTTTGAAATAGTTTATCAACGAATTAAGAATTCCGAAAAGACTGAAACACAAACAAATCAAACAATATCTACGTCTGCTTTACCAGATACATCAACTCTTTCAATACAAGTAATGATAAATGAAATCTATTGTATTTATACAAATTTTTTTTCAGCAATCATCATCGACATCTAGTCCTGTTGTTACATCACAGCCACCGATAATATCTGCAGAACCTGTTCCTCAACCAGCACAAGCGTCTAAAGTACGTATGATATTTTATTGTCGGTTTTTTAAATACAAATTAACTAGTAGATGCCTTTGTTTGATGATGTTTGGGGAGATAATCCTTCAACAACGGTTTCACAAACAATGTCAACACCCAAAGTATGTGTAATATTTTATTATCGATCTTTTTAATAAAATTTAGCTAGTAGACACCTTTATTTGATAATATTTGGGGAGGTAGTCCTTCAACAACGGTTTCACAAACAACGTCAACACCCAAAGTATGTGTAATATTTTATTGTCGATCTTTTTAATAAAAGTTAGCTAGTAGACA